AGAGAGAGAGAGAGAGAGAGAGAGAGAGAGAGAGAGAGAGAGAGAGAGAGAGAGAGAGAGAGAGAGAGAATGAGAGACAGCTTAATCCATCTTTTCTCCATCCCCAATCTGGATAACGAACGTGATCATAACGTGTGACTAATCGCTCCGGCATTTTTCAGGTGAAATTAGCCAATCAGGAGTCGGACCTCGTGTTGCTGCTGAAGCGCATCCCGCTCGGCGCCACCGAGCTCGGAATCATCCGCGAGAGGGCGATGCAGCTGCGCGACGGGACGCTGAAGACGCGCGGCGACGCCCTGCTGCCGCTCATGCTCGCCAGCTTCATCTACGANAGAGAGAGAGAGAGAGAGAGAGAGAGAGAGAGAGAGAGAGAGAGAGAGAGAGAGAGAGAGAGAGAGAGAGAAAGATTGCGGTGTGGCAGCACCACCTTGTGACGACTGTACTTACGCACGAAGGGTCGTTGTCGTATAATCGCGTATAATATGTACCCGAGGTAACTATTTGGTATGGTTAGGGTTAGGGTGTTATGGTTAGGGTTAGGGTGTTAGGGTTAGGGCGTAGGCGTAGGTGACATACTCGCCGACACCTCGGGTACTATACTCGGGTACATATACGACAACGACCCTTTCAGCCATACTTACCACGACCATGGATCTCTGTCTCCTGACTGGTTGTCTGTCTCCTCTATCTGTAGATCTTGTTTGCGAGAGCGGAGGCGTTGCACGGACACGGCCACAGCCGTGAGGCGGTCAAGCTGGCGGTCAAGCTGGCAGAGGAGCTGCTACAGAACCCACCGGACCTCTTAGCTCAGGTGAGAGAGAGAGGGGGAAGGGAGGAGGGAAGGGGAGGGGAGGAGCTGGAGGAGGGGAGAAGGAGGGGAGGGAGGGTGAGGGGGAGGCGGGCAAGCTGGCAGAGGAGCTGCTACAGAACCCACCGGACCTCCTAGCTCAGGTGAGAGAGAGGGAGAGGAAGGGGAGGAGCTGGAGGGGAGGAGGAGGGAGGAGAGGAGTAGCTAGGGAAGGAAGGAGAAGGAAGAAGGAAGCATGAAGAAAAGGGAGGAGACACGAAGGAGGAGAGGGGAGAAAGAAGGAGGAAGATGGAGGAGGAGAGATAGCTAAAGTGATCAGAGCATGGCACGGTACTTATATTATATGTTTGTTCTCCTTCTCTCTCAGGTACCTCCTACACCAACCAAAGGCAAGAAGAAGAAGAATCAAGGCACTTTACTAAAGATTAGGTAAGACATGTGAGAGATGCTGCAGCAACAGCCTGCGCAGTCTGTGTGACCCTGTCATGGCGTCTGACCTCTGTGTGACCTATGACCTCATGCGTGACCTCCCGTGTTTCAGCACGTTGGCAAGCAACACGCTGGCTAAGGTGGCGTTTCTATGTGTGACCCCCTGACCTCTGCATGACCCCTGACCTTTGTGTGGCCTCTGACCTCCCTTGTTTCAGCACATTGGCTAAGGCAGCGTTTCTCTGTGTGACCTCTGACCTTTCGTGTTTCAGCACGTTCCTGCTCCGCTCCCTGCCCAACCACAACCAACACACCGTCAGGTTACAGTATGTACAGTATGTACATGTACAGTTTACAGTCAGTTCACCAGTTACACTACAGTCAGTACAGTCGAGTACAGTCAGTACAGTCAGTACCAGTCGCAGTACAGCAGTACAGTCAGTACATCAGTACAGTCAGTACAGACATATGTACAAGTACAGTTTCAGTACAGTACAAGTTTACACGTCAGTACAGTCAGTACAGTCTAGTACAGTCAGTACAGTCAGTACAGCTCAGTACAGTCAGGTACAGTCTAGTACATCAGTACAGTCAGTACAGTCAGTACAGTCGAGTACAGTCAGTACAGTCAGTACAGTCCAGTACCAGTTCCATACAGCTACATTTACACCGCGGATACAGACATGTAAGTATGCATAGGTACCTGGGGGGCCGCAAATTATCACGGGTCAGTACAGACAAGCTACGCTGCAACGTTCTACTACATTCTTAAGCCAGGAGGTGGATGGCGGCGGCATGCTCGAGTTAGCGCCAAAAACAAGCGTGGGGTCAGGAGAGACGAAGCTCGCGCGGGTCAATGCCAGCAGTACTCAGCATCTCACCGGCCCGTGGGTAGAAAACGGCGGGGGATTGTTAAGCCCACGCATCATCAACGTCAGTACAAACTAGCTATGGACACCTCGGCAATATTACTGTCCTTAAGCCGGGGGGATGAGGGAGAGGCAACTATGGAAAACCACGGCAACAAGGGAGAGAAACCACAACCGAGGCGCCATCCCGCCACCGCACCACCAGGGGCGGCGCTCACCTATGAGACAGAGCCCCTGCATCGTACGAGAAGCTGAGCGAGCATGAGCGGCAGCAGGCA